TGGGATGTGGGATATGTGGGAAATCTCTGTAACTTTCTCTCAAATTTGCTGTGAACCTAAAACTGCTTTAAGAAATAGTCTATACACAAAAACAACAGCGACTCCTCTAGATGCTTAAGTCAGAAATCTGGAGTCCACCTTGCCACGTGTTTGGCTCCCTCCTCCCAAGCTCACCGGTACTCGAGGCTTGGGAATTCCACTATCAGACTTCTCCTACCCCACAGCCTCCAGTACGGCCCTCCACAGCAATGGCCTCACCTGTTTCTGTCTCTTACCCTCTGAGAAGCAAGACCATCTTCTTAAAGCATACATTACATCCTAGCATCTCGTTTACACTTGGGATAACATTTTAAATCCTTATTCTGGTCTCTAAGCCCCTAGCCATGACCATGACCATGGCCCGAGCTCACCTCTCCAGGCTCGTGGCACAACTTACTACGTGACAGGTGCACTGACCTTCTCAGCCACTCCCAAGTGCCAAGACTCAAAGCTTTGGCACACAGTGGCCTCTCCACTTATGCTTCAAGAATCAATTTAAAAGCCTCGCCCTCAAAAAATTCTTGCCAACCCCTGCCTGCACCACAGAGTGACTTCTCCCTCTGCCCATTCCTACTTTCTTTCCCCCTTCCCATCCACGATGCCAAGATCGCTCTCTAATAAATGCCCGTTAACCTCCCCCTCAGAGTTGGGTTTCCAGAGAATCCAACATGCATGATTGGCAAACAGGGTAAAGTTTGTTTTGGAGGACGAATGATTCAGAGTCAGCAAATTTCAGCCAGTAGGCCAAATTGGTCCACTGCCTGTTTCTGTAAATAAAGTTTTATTAGAACATGTCCACACTCATTTATTTATGCATTGTCTGTGGCTGCTTGAGTTGAGCAGTTGCTATGGAAACCATCTGGCCCTTTACCCAAAAAACCTTATAGACCCCAGTTTTAGATCATTAAAGAAAAATCATATTTGTAAAATAAGGGCTCCTCAAATGTCCTCTGGCTCCTCTAGTAAGAAGTTCTCATGGGACTGAAGGAGCAGAGCCTAATGCAGATTTCTCTGGGAGGCTTGACATGTACGCATATAGTCTGTCATTTTCCCTTGAGTGATGGAAGTACTTTCTTCATGACATAAACCTGCCTCACTAAACATGTATTAGATTATAGCATCAGAACACTGGTAGACACAGTAGACACTCCGTGATCCAGCAGGAATCCGGTCATTCCTCTCCAGTGAATCCTCTCCAGCCATCCACATCTTTGTTCACTAGTGATGCTAAGCTCCACTGGGGACTTCTCAGACCAAGGCCACCAGGAGCCTGAGCACTGGCTGTAGCATACTGAGACAGAGAGCCTACCACAGAACATCAATGCTTGGGGCAAATCAAAAAAGTGCATTCATAAGTCTCTTCTCCAAAAGCATCTAAATGAACTTCCACGGATGTCCTGGAACAGGGGAAAGCTTCAGATCTAGGCCACAGATGCAAAATGAAACTGACAGTAAGTAACGTATCAAAGTCAATACTGTTTTAGGCATGCAACACCCAGCAAAGAGAGAACTACTCAAATCAATATTGTATAGTCCCATAGAACACCACAAAGAATGGGATTTCAGTCTGGGAAGGATTTCTGAGCCAATAAATTCTAACTACCAAATGACGTGGCATATTACATTTATTTAGAAATTAACTGTGTAACCCAGTCTCCTAATAGATTCCGGCCACCAGATACTAATATCACTCTGTATGTCCACGAGTGGTCTTCAAACATTCCCACTGTGGTGAGAGTGGAGACGGGGCCCACCACTGAGAGAGTCCCCACCAATCAAACAGCTCTGCTTAGGACCGTCACTGAGAGGGTACAGCCTTCAGCACTGAATGGCCATGCGGACTCAGGCAAATCAGTTCATCTTCAGCCTCATTTGTCTTAGCTGCAAAATAGGGATAATGATACTGTCTTTACAGAACGGTCTGAAGGATTCCAAGTGATGGACACAACTGATGTCAGCCAGGGCCTGGCATCTAGGATCTGCGCGGTGTATGCTGTGGTCATTGGTAGGATGAGCGCTAAGGATGCTGTGACCCTTCCTCAGAGCAGGGCAGGGAGCTGAGCAGTGCCCATTTGCGGGTGCTGGCAGGAGGCATACCAACCCGTGGAGATACAAAGAATGGACATACGGGGACTGAGAAGGGCAAAACAGAAAGCAATTCTTCAGCGTCTAGAAAGAGAACAGGTCTCTGTGTGTCAGTTAGACGACGACGCCCCGATAGACATGGCCTACCTATACTGCACCAAATGTTTGCAAGTCTCCCATCTTCCCTAATCTTAGTAACCTTTTCCGCGTGTCTGTCCTGGAGGCTCATTCTCGAACACAATGTATAGGACTTCCTGTCGGGTGACCTAACGACTGGAACTGAAACTGCCTTGCCTCTGTTTGTAGAATCTTCCGGACTGCACCTCCCTTGTGGCTGAATGTCAACAAGGTGGCTAGAGAGGATGCTGCTCACGCAGGATTTGGGGATCCTTCAGATGAAAAGAATCAGATTCAGTAACGATGAAACAGGAAGACTGCTAATAGCATGTGTGACCACAGGAGGCTGTCAAGAACGCCTCTGACGAGATCCCAGTTCCAGAGAGGAAACACAAACAGCTCCTCAGAGTTTTTTAAATTTTTAATTTTTTTTGAAGATTTTATTTATCTGACAGAGAGAGAAAGAGAGCACAAGCAGGGGGAACAGCAGAGGGAGAGGGAGAAGCAGGCTCCTCGCTGAGCAGGGAGCCTGATGCGGGAATCCATCCCAGGACCCTGGGATCATGACCTGAGCTGAAGGCAGACACTTAACCGACTGAGCCACCCTCAGAGCACTGTGTAGGTTAGCCCAGGACAGACTGTGTTAGTTAGAGCCTATGAGTCGTGCTTATAAATCTCAGGCAAGAATTCAGTAGCGTGGACAAGAAGGGCTTTCTTGTCACCTGGGAAGGAATACATCCCATTGCAAATGAGTTTCTGAGTGAGAAAGTATGAAAGTCCGGGAAGGGTTGTGTGAGTGAGTGTGTCTACGCACACATCTGAGGTGTGTGCCCAAAATGGTGAGTTCAAGCTTCTGTGGTTTTTGAGCAGGATGACTGAGGGACCCAGAGTCACATGGACACTCTCCCTCACAGATTCACCTCAGGCAAACAGAACAGAGATTTTTTTTCAAGCTAGAGGGGACTTTCAAGAACACCAAACACACCTCTTCTCTAGCCACCTAGATGAAGAAACAGGCTCTGAGAAGTAGGGTGGCTTGTCCACCTTCACTGCACAAGAAAATAATAGGTCGGCAACTCTCAAAAAGGTGAGCTGGCCTCTGTGAATATCTTTCCTCAAATGGTAGAATGAGGCCACATGATTCACAGCCACTCAAATCCTCCACATGGAATCCTTGGCATCTGGAGTTATTCTGAGGGAAGTCGGCCCATGGGAAGTAGAATTAATTCAATGCTCTGCCTAAGAACACCAGTTACCCGAGGAGTCATTCCACAAAGTCAAAGTCAAGTATCTTCTCTGCACCGAAGCCAAAATAAGTTAGGGTGGGGTGGGGGATTTTCTCTGCTCATGTTCCTCTCCTCTGAAATCAACCTTGGGGACCCGGCTCTAGTGATTTTTAAACATCCTTTGGTGGAAGTGCCATAAATCCAAATGATTATTTCACACCATGCGACACAACATAAAGACAAAGATGTGCCTTGGTGGGGGTGGCAGACATACAACAACGTAGGTTGTATGTTTCTGGAATCTTCACCTACAAGGAGGAGGGAGTGGTTGACTTGAGCAACTTCTTAAAAATACTAAATTGAGGTCCATCTTTGCAACACTGATAAGGGCTTACTTCTTCCTTTTTGCAATAAAGCTTGTAAGACTCAGAGGCATTTTGATGGTCTAATCAACCTGAAAGCCATGTCAAATTGCCTTAGAAATCTCTGCGCATTCAATATATACACACTTGTTAAAATTAATTACATCATTCACCATTTCTACACACATTATAGCTTAAAATGTTTTACAGTCATTTTTATTAATTAATAAATCCTTAATGGACAAAAATTACACTATAAAATTATTGTATGTATGCTGCATTTCCAATTTTACTGCTATTATCTTTAAATATTTCCCCCAAATGGAAAGTCACTAATTTATAAATCAGAGTCTCTCCTGGAAAGTAAAACTGAAAATTGGAAGTTTATGCAGAGAGAGAACTCTGGTGTCAGGCTAAAGCCTGTTTTCCTCTTCCTGATCTCCTAAGAAAGGTAAAGGGTGCCCAGGGCTGCTGACATCTGGGAACCGTGGCAATGGCAGAAATAGCAAATTCTAGCCAAGTTGCCCCCGAAAACTGCTGCTTTTGCAGTTTGGAGAGTCCCCAATTTGCATCTTGTTGAAAATATCCCATAATTACTAATCCCCCCACACACACACACACACTCCATTATAGACGATTATTTCTAAGAGCAATCCATAAATACAAACTGATTTGATTATTTCTAAGAGCAATCCATAAATACAAACTGCCGGATTGAAAAGGAAAGCAGACCAGGACCGTGGACCCTTCCAGATACCCAGATGTTCAGCCCAGAGATACAAAACCTCTGGGCGTGGACAGCACTTTTTCCTCTTCTCCCTGCTTTGGAGCGATATGGGCCTAAAATAACTTCATCTGCAGGCCATAGTTTCCTGCTCATGACATTACAGGGTCTGGAGCTATTGCTGGAAACAAAACTTTGAGGGAAGCTCCCTGAGAATCAGATAACAGTATCTGTGAAAACCTAAGGCAGACATCAACACTGAGCTACCAATTGCCAACTCAGAGCAGAGCAGATAAAACGATGCTTCTGAGAACCACTTCTTGAAATAAGGGAAGTCATGTAGAAGAAACCCACTGCCCACCTTGGCAGGGGACTTGCACAGATTACCTGAGGGGTGGGGATCTGTACCTGGCGGCCCCACCTCCGGAGGATGAGTGTGTCACTCACCTGCTGTGTAACTCCAGCCAGGAATGTGGATGGACAGTTGGCTGCCACCACCCCCGGTGTGCCGAGTGGTATAGTCCTCTCTCCCTTTTCTTACTGTGACCTGCTGAACTCCCACACCTGAGAATGCTTGCTTTTCCAACAGACGGGAGCCCCTCCAAGGACAGGTGCAGGGCCCCAGATGCACCTGCTCCAAGGACGGGTTTTCCTTCAAGAAACTTCCTTGCAAACCCGGGTTCCAGCGGGGGCCTAGGAGGTTCTGGTTTCCTTCCGTGAGCTCCTGCTTCAAAGCACTGCTCATTGGCCCTCCATTAGCTGTGCCGTCTACTCCATCTGGTGTCAATCCGTGTGAACTGCAGCTTAGGTTGAGCGACAGGACCGACCTGTGCATTTTAGGGCCAGCAAGCGGAGGCTGCTCAATGGGGACGGAGAGGGACCGGTCTAGATAGTAAATGGAATTGGGGCACTGCTGAGACACCCTGACATGGACGCAGGAGCTGAACACCAGCGGCCCCTTTCCCGACCGCGCGGCGCCCAGAGGAAAACTGTCCTCTCGGTTGTCCACATCCGTGATGCAGTACTCGTGAGTCTCGCACAGCCGGGGGTCCGTCTCGGGCACCTTCAGCCTCACCACAGAGCAGTTTCTGGAGCAATCCGCGCAGGTGAACGGTCCCTGGTGCCCACGGGGCTCGGCACCCCCAGCCGGAGCAGAGGCGTCCCTGAGCAGAGCGCCCTGGGCCCGGCACTCGGTGCACCGCGGGCCCCCCACGGCCTCCCACGCCAGGGTGCCGGCTGCGGGGCCCACGCGCCTGGCCGTGATGGTGATGGACGCAAAGCCCCTTTGGGGGCCGCTGCACGGCTTCTCCTCGTTGGACGGCAGCTCCGTGTCAGGTCCTGGCTCCTGGGCCGCCGGCGTCTGAACGCCCAGCCTGCCGGGAAGGAGGGCGAATGCCCGGCTGATGGAGACCCCGCTGCGGTTCACCCGCGACGGCCTGGCCGTAGGCGCGGCGTGCAGAGCCGGTGCGCAGGGCGCGGGCGGCGCGGCCCGGTTTGCCTTTGATTTACTCTCATCCATCAGCTGTGAAATGACGAGGGATGAAATCATTTTTGTGCTGTGCGATGCCAGAGTCTCCTGCAAATGGGAAAAAGATGACAATTATTCACACAGCCTATTGTAACGCAGGCGGTCAACTCCCTTTCAAGAGCCAAGAGGACATCCCAGAATCCTGTTCCCGGCCAAGGCCTTCTACCCCACACCTGGCCCCACCTCTGCGTGCTCGGAAGGGCAGCAGACCCAGATCCGTCTGTGAAACGGTTATATATTCTGGAATCATTCTTCTGATCGGGGAATTGGTTTTCTCTGCTGGGTGTCTATTCTTAGTTTATTTAATGATGTTTGTGTCGATGGGCATCATCAAATTGCAATAATCACCTTCATTAGGCCCAGGAGCACCTGAAGACATGTTCACAGGCTCAAGCGGGGAGGGTAGACGGAGTTCTGGAACAGGGCTGGGACCTGGGGCACGGGTTTATATGGGAAATGAGTTAGCACTCCTGGGGGGCGGGAGGCCTCTCTTGTCTGCATCCCCAACCCTCTAACACAATCCTCTAACTTTGCTGATTCACACTGGGATTCAGTGGCTCCCCATGCTTGCCATGGTGGGGGTCAAATCCCAGACAAGGGAACACAGGTGATCAAACACCCAAGCTGGACAGTTACCTAGACTAACACAGCGACCATGAGAATCACATATCAGAAAGCAGAGGTGTTGGACAGGACAGTGGTGGTTTGTCTGGGTTTCAGTGCTCAGGGGCATAGGCACAGTCACTGTCCAGGAGAGGGATCAAGGTGTTCCATGTTTCCTTATCAGCAGATCTGTGTCCTAACAGTAAACGGCTAGTGTGTCCAAAACAATGTGCTGAGATTTTTAATAAAGCATCTAACCGGGTCAACACCAGGAGGAAGAATCTCTTCAGTCCTGGTTTTGTTTTTAATATGTGTATGTGTAAAACACTGCAGAAAACGACACGGATGACTGAATAGTCAATGCTCACAGGGTCGTAGGCCCCCATTTTGATGCTCAGTATTCTACTTAAAACAAACCCTTGCCTGCAACAGCACAGGACCCAAAAGAATCCGGTAACCACTCAACTCCCACCAGGAGTATAGCCTTCACGAGGAGCCTGGAGGCTTCATTGGTGCTCGGCAAGGAAGCAGCAATTCTCACGCTGTAAGGGGCCTGAGAATCACCTGGAATGTTCACAACTGCAGGCTCCCCAGGCTCCAGAGTTTCAGATTCTGTAGGCCTGTGGGTGGGGCCCCAGCATCTGCATTTTAACCAGCATCCCGGTGATTCCGATGTAGGTGATCCAGGGAACACACTCTGAAAAGCTCGAACAACTGCTGGTCTTTTCAAGGAGAGGAAGGGCTTGTGTTTGAGGAGACAATTGTTCTCTTTTCCTTAGATGTGATAAGAAAGCACAAACTTTTCTTTTCTTCAGAGCAGGATTAACACTCATTTATGCCACTAACATAATGCTTTCCTCCACCTGGACTTCTGACAGGAGGGCCGGCCCATAGGATCTTAACACCCAAGGCTCGTGGCATTCTGACTGTTAGCCACCGGAAGGTGGTCAGCTTCTCAGTTTTTCCTTTTTTTTTTTTTTTCCCTGTTTTTCATCACAATCCCCATAACCTGACACGTGGTTAGATTTTAAAGCTACATGGGAAGTTGCAAATTCAAAAGACTGAACCAGAGACAGGTGAAGAAGAAGCAGAGTCGTCTTAAACTTCATCTTTTAAAAAATCTAAATATCACTGGCTACCTTTTCCCAGATGGCTAGCGAGCTCCAGGCTCTGCTTGAAACCTCTTTCAAGGTGGAGTCTTCTCTTCAGCACGTGTCATTAACACATAACCACCTGGGAGCTTGTGGAAGCCTCAGCCCCGAACAACAGCATCAGAATCCCTGGAGGTGGGGCCAGGCATCCTCTTTTTTCACTTCCAATGTGACTGCAGCAGGCAGGTGATGTTGAGAAGCACCACCTGATGCTTCTGAGGCACCTCGCTCTCCTTTCTACGCGTCGCTCTCCACGGCTGGGGTTTACATACAAGAACAGTGAGATATGCCTAGCACCTACCCCAGGCAGTTTGACTTGGTACGTAGTCCCTCCCTAGTTAGATTTAGTTCTGATAAAATTATGCCTATGCATCCTACCAGGTGCATAATCATACCTGGTAGGAACTCCTTTGGCACAGGTCTCTGAAAGAAAAAGCAAATATTCATCTTGGAAAGTGTGCTGTGTTGGTTTTATTTTATACTTTATAGCAATGTTTCCCAAAGTTTGGGCCAGTGACCACTGGCATAAAAAACACCCAGTGTGGGGAGGGTTAAAAATGCCAATTTCTGGATGCTTCCCTCCTCCTCTCTAGACCTAAGGTGAATCAGGAGCTCTGGGGATAAGGCCAAGCAGCTGTGTTTTTAACCAGCTGCCAGGTGATCTGCGCAGATACGGAAGAAGGAATGCCAGGCCAGAATCAGACCTCCTGGGGTCCCTCCTGAGCACACGCTGGAGGGACGCCCTGGGGCTACACTGGGGGTTGTGGGTACCAATGTAGGAGGCCCTAGAGGCCCAGAAGGATGGGAGAGAGAATCACCCACCATCTCATTACCTTGGGCCTGGCAGGTGTAACTGACTGAGTCCATCAAATGCAAATGGATGAAGGAAGAGCAACAATGAATGAAATGAATTTGAACTCAATTCTGAAGCTGGGAAATCACCTGGTATGTCAGGGTGACCCTGTTCCTGAGGGGAGAGAGGCTGATCGAAGCCCAGTCCCAAAGAAAAGTCTCTTTGCCTTCTCTACCTTACCAGGAAGTTTTGGAGATCAGAAACAATGGAGGACGTGAAAGTACCTCTCAAAATATGAACATGATACATCACTGCAGGGTATGACTTTTTCTGTGATTTAACAGAAATCAGAGGATGTCTGATGGACTCAAACCTCTGGATGAGTGAAGGAGTATTTATAATGAATGCATTTGGGTTAATTTGAATTACACAAATGAAAATAACCTATTACATACCCAATACATTGAAATTTTGTCGATGTGAATGTAGAATGAATGAAACCTTTCTAGATGAAAGTTCTGTCATCCTAACATAGAGTCATGATCAACCCATTTATTCATGAACATCAGGCAGATCTTTTGAGCTCCTACTACAGGAAACTGAGGAAACTTCTTGGCCCCATGGAGTTAACAAAGGGGAGAGAACACCAAGCAGATAATCAAATTATCAAGACTGGGATTATTGGTTAAATTTTACTGTGGTTCCTTCTGAGGTATTTACACTCAGCTTTGACAAAAGCCCCAACTGATAGACTGAGAGAAATTAAAAAGGAAACACTGTACTCCTTGCTCGTCAAAACACTAATCCCACTCTTGTATGGGAAGTTCTATTTATCAGATCTTATTTTCTCATTAAGATCCATTAAATCATTAAAGTCCAACCTCTTAAAACTCTGGGCTGCCACACAAAGCACTACAGTCTGGGTGGCTTAAAAACAGAAATTTTATTTTGTTACAGTCTTCACATTTCCTTTCTTCAGTGTGTGACTGTGCCCTAACGTCCTCCTCTTGTAAGGGCATTGGTCATATTGATAAAGCCCACCCTAATGACCTCATTTAACCTAAATTACCTCTTTAAAGATTCTGTCTCCAAACACAGTCACACTGTGAGGTACTAGGAATTAGGACTTCCACACATTCAACTGGAGTGGGGTAGATGGTCCATGACAGACTACAATATAGCACTTTGTGTCCAGCTCTTCTTCCGGGGCTGGGAAGCCAAGAAAGAGATGAGACAGAGGAGCTATCTGATGTTTCTAACTTGGCCCACTAATTTTAAAACAGGGAAACTTTTTAAAAAAGTGATCACATCTTTCACATCAAATATCTTTCCCAATGAAGCTATTTCAAGATGCCCCTCCATCTGTTCTTTATATTATGTTAACTGAACATGGCTTTGAAAAAAAAAAAAAAGAGTATCGGGCGCCTGGGTGGCTCAGTTGG